GGGACACAATTGTCATTATTCACGCATCACATGTGGATTGGGGGATTTCTTATAGTTGGTGCTGCCGCGCATGCAGCCATCTTTATGGTACGAGACTATGATCCAACTAATCGATATAATGATTTGTTGGATCGTGTCCTTCGACATCGTGATGCAATTATCTCACATCTCAACTGGGTATGTATGTTTCTAGGTTTTCACAGTTTTGGTTTGTATATTCATAATGATACGATGAGTGCTTTAGGGCGCCCTCAAGATATGTTTTCCGATACGGCTATACAATTACAACCCATTTTTGCTCAATGGATACAAAAAATCCATACTTTTTTAACACCAGATTTAGCAGCAAACCCTGGTTTAAGTTGGAGTGGTGTAGTTGCAGTGGGTGGCAAAATAGCGTTAGCGCCAATTTCTTTAGGGACTGCGGATTTTTTGGTACATCATATTCATGCATTTACGATTCATGTGACAGTATTGATACTTTTGAAAGGTGTGCTATTTGCTCGTAGTTCCCGTTTGATACCAGATAAGGCAAATCTTGGTTTTCGTTTTCCATGTGATGGCCCTGGAAGAGGAGGGACATGTCAAGTCTCGGCTTGGGACCATGTCTTCTTAGGTCTTTTCTGGCTATACAATTCTATTTCGATAGTTATTTTTCATTTCAGTTGGAAGATGCAGTCCGATGTTTGGGGCAATCTAAACAATCAAGGGGTAATAAATCATATCACGGGAGGAAACTTTTCACAGAGTTCTATTACTATTAATGGATGGCTCCGCGATTTCTTATGGGCACAGGCATCTCAAGTAATTCAGTCTTATGGTTCTTCATTATCAGCATATGGCCTTTTTTTCTTGGGTGCGCATTTCATATGGGCTTTTAGTTTAATGTTTCTCTTCAGCGGACGTGGTTATTGGCAAGAATTGATTGAATCCATTGTTTGGGCTCATAATAAATTAAAAGTTGCTCCTGCTACTCAGCCAAGAGCCTTGAGCATTATACAAGGGCGTGCTGTAGGAGTAACCCATTACCTTCTAGGTGGAATTGCCACAACATGGGCATTCTTCTTAGCAAGAATTATTGCAGTCGGATAATGATTTGAAAAGCATTATGGTATTGAGATTTCCAAAGTTTAGCCAAAGCTTAGCTCAGGACCCCACCACTCGTCGTATTTGGTTTGGTATTGCGACCGCACATGACTTCGAAAGTCATAATGAAATTACTGAGGAACGTCTTTATCAGAATATTTTTGCTTCGCACTTTGGTCAATTAGCAATAATTTTTTTGTGGACTTCCGGAAATCTGTTCCATGTGGCTTGGCAAGGAAATTTTGAATCGTGGGTACAGGACCCTTTACATGTAAGACCCATTGCACATGCAATTTGGGATCCGCATTTTGGTCAACCAGCCGTGGAAACGTTTACTAGAGGAGGTGCTGTTGACCCGGTGAATATTGCTTATTCTGGTGTTTATCAGTGGTGGTATACAATCGGGTTACGGACTAAGGAGGATCTTTATACTGGAGCTTTTTTTCTATTTTTTATTTCGGCTATCTCGCTAATAGCAGGTTGGTTACATCTACAACCTAAGTGGAAACCAAATATTGCGTGGTTCAAAAATGCAGAATCTCGCTTGAATCATCACTTGGCAGGGCTCTTTGGCGTAAGTTCCTTGGCTTGGACAGGACATTTAGTACATGTTGCGATTCCTGCGTCGAGAGGGGAGTACGTTCGATGGAATAATTTATTAGATCAATTACCACATCCTCAAGGATTAGGCCCACTTTTTACAGGTCAGTGGAATCTTTATGCTCAAAATCCCGATTCCAGTAGTCATTGTTTTGGGACTTCTCAAGGAGCGGGGACTGCCATTCTCACATTTCTCGGAGGATTTCATCCGGAAACGCAAAGTTTGTGGCTGACCGATATTGCACACCATCATTTAGCTATTACATTGCTTTTTTTTGTTGCTGGTCATATGTATAGAACTAATTTTGGAATTGGACATAGTGTAAAACATCTTTTAGATGCACATATTCCACCGGGTGGACGACTAGGTCGTGGGCATCAAGGTCTTTATGACACACTCAATAATTCGCTTCATTTTCAATTGGGTCTTGCTTTAGCTTCTTTAGGGGTGTTTACTTCCTTGGTAGCCCAACATATGTACTCTTTACCGTCTTATGCATTCATAGCGCAAGACTTTACTACTCAAGCTGCATTATATGCTCATCATCAATATATCGCAGGATTCATTATGACAGGAGCTTTTGCTCATGGAGCTATATTTTTTATTCGTGATTATAATCCGGAGCAAAATAAAGATAATGTATTGGCACGAATTTTAGATCATAAACAAGCGATCATATCTCATTTAAGTTGGGTTAGCCTATTCTTGGGATTTCATACCTTAGGACTTTATATCCATAATGATGTAATGCTTGCGTTTGGTACCCCAGAAAAGCAAATCTTAATTGAACCGATCTTTGCTCAATGGATACAATCTGCTCACGGGAAAACTTCCTATGGATTCGATGTTCTTTTGTCTTCAACGAATGGGCCAGCAGTTAATGCGGGACAACATCTCTGGTTGCCTGAATGGTTAAATGCTGTTAATGACACCAGTAATTCATTATTCTTAACAATTGGACCCGGAGATTTTTTAGTTCATCATGCTATTGCTCTGGGTTTACATACAACTACATTAATATTAGTAAAAGGTGCTTTAGATGCACGTGGTTCCACTTTAATGCCGGATAAAAAAGAATTTGGTTATAGTTTTCCTTGCGACGGTCCAGGCAGAGGTGGTACTTGTGATATTTCAGCATGGGACGCATTTTATTTGGCAGTTTTTTGGATGTTAAATACTATTGGTTGGGTTACCTTTTATTGNGTTGGATTAGCCCACTTTTCGGTAGGGTATATATTTACTTATGCCGCCTTCTTAATTGCTTCCACATCGGGTAAATTTGGTTAAATCAAAATTTTTTCGACGTAGTGAGCGGGCCTCTATTTATACATCTAGGATTCGACTTTTATTATGGATAAGCTATTATTAGGATTTCAATATTTATGGCAAGAAAAAGTTTGATTCAGAGAGAGAAAAAAAGGAAAAAATTGGAACAAAAATATCATTTGATTCGTCGATCTTCAAAACAAGAAATACACAAAGTTTCTTTATTGAGTGAAAAAAGGGAAATTTATGTAAAGTTACAATCTTCACCGCGGAATAGTGCACCTACGCGCCTTCGTCGACGTTGTTTTATGACTGGAAGACCAAGAGCTAACTATCGCGATTTTGAACTATCCGGACATATACTTCGTGAAATGGTTGAAACATGCCTGTTACCTGGCGCAATGAGATCAAGTTGGTAGGGATTTTATCTATCCTCTCGGTCCCTTTATCCTTTCTGTATAAATTATAAATAGGGTCTTTTTTTTTTTTATACATTTTGGGGTAGGGACCAGTAATTCTCCTAAGCGGGGTAGAGCAGTTTGGTAGCTCGCAAGGCTCATAACCTTGAGGTCACGGGTTCAAATCCTGTCTCCGCAACCTCTAGTATATCTTTTTGAGACTTCCAAAGGAATTATAATTATACATAAAAACTATCGAAGTGACCTCACATCGAATCGCGGATAGCGGGAATCGAACCCGCATCTTCTCCTTGGCAAAGAGAGATTTTACCATTCGACCATATCCGCATTTTTTGGTTAATTTATAGTCGCTACGATAATCTGCCCGGCTCCCACTTTAGTTAAGTACCGGACCCAATATTATCGTTATAGAATAATGCTAAATTTTTTAATTCCGTAAATTTGGTTTCTTAGAATTTTTTGAAGGCAAACTTTGATTTTTTAGTTTTCGACGCCGAGGGTCAAGAGATCAGAGAATTAAGTATAGCCACCAAAAATAACAATCCAAGCCATAATGCTGTTCCAGAAAATAAGACATTTTTTTTACTTGACCAGCCCTCGGGCGAAGCAAATACAACAGGTACACCAATCAATAAGATAAATGAAGTGACAATTAATAAAAAAACAACCAGTTGGAAAGCAAGAGCCATAGGTTTCATCCTCAATGCTACCACCAAGTAAACTATACCATTTGAGTTCCCTAATCGAAGAAAACGAATAAACCACTAATAATTTATTAAATTAAAGTAGCTAACGGAGAGATGGCTGAGCGGTTCATAGCCCCGGTCTTGAAAACCGGTATAGTTTAAAGAACTATCGAGGGTTCGAATCCCTCTCTCTCCTTATTGTTGATCAGTGAATAGACATGACTTGGCTATCCGACGTAGCCAAGCCATAAAAAACGCAATTAAATATTTAATTTTATAGATAAACCAACTTGAATAATTTGATTTCGTATCTGTTCTCAATTGAGCGGGGTCATAGAAAGAACGGGTTCGAAATCCCTATCAATTCCTTTCTCAAACCCAGCTGCCGCCGCCCGAGCCCGGCCCGCGTGCCACAAATGACCAACAAAAAAGAAAAATCCTAGACAAAAATGTGAGGTTGCCAACCAACTTCTTGGAGAGACATAATTGACTGCATTTATTTCAGTAGCCACGCCTCCGACAGAATTTAACGAACCTAAAGGGGCATGAGTCATATATTCTGCGGAACGCCGTTCCTGCCAAGGTTGTATATCTTTTTTTAACCGATTCAGATCTAACCCATTTGGTCCCCTTAGAGGCTCTAGCCACGGAGCACGCAGATCCCAAAAGCGCATAGTTTCTCCTCCAAAAATGACTTCGCCAGTGGGGGAACGCATTAGATATTTACCTAAACCCGTAGGACCTTGAGCGGCTCCCACGTTTGCTCCAAGACGTTGGTCTCTAACTAAAAAGGTAAAGGCTTGAGCTTGAGAAGCTTCCGGTCCTGTGGGTCCGTAAAACTCACTAGGATAAGCGGTATTATTGAACCAGACAAAACAGCAAGCAGTGAAACCAAATAGAGATAAAGCCCCTAAACTATAAGATAAGTAGGCTTCGCCAGACCATACAAGTGCGCGACGCGCCCAAGCAAAGGGTTTAGTTAGGATATGCCAGATTCCACCAAATATACAAATTGACCCTACCCATACATGGCCTCCGATTATATCTTCCAAATCGTCTACACTGACAATCCATCCGTCTCCACCAAAGGGAGATTTCAGTAAAAAACCAAATACGATACTTGGACTCAGGGTCAAGTTCGTAATTTTTCTTACATCTCCCCCTCCAGGGGCCCAAGTATCATATACACCCCCAAAATAAAGGGCTTTGAAGACTAAAAGAAAAGCACCTATACCTAATAATATTAAATGAATACCTAAAATAGTAGTCATTTTATTTCTATCTTTCCATACATAACGAAATAAAGGAAAAGATTCTTCTATGATCTCAGGTCCAAGAAGTGCATGATAAATACCACCAAACCCCAATACGGCAGAGGAAATTAAATGAAGGACTCCAGAGACAAAGTATGGAAAGGTATCTATAATTTCTCCTCCAGGTCCTACCCCCCAACCTAGAGTCACTAAGTGGGGAAGTAAAATTAATCCTTGTTCATACATAGGTTTCTCTGGTCCGAAATGAGCCACTTCAAATAGATTCATTGCTCCGGCCCAGAAAACTATTAATCCAGCGTGCGCTACATGGGCCCCTAATAGTTTACCCGATAAATTGATCAATCGGGCATTACCAGCCCACCAAGCGAAACCAGTAGTTTCTTGGTCCCGACCAGCTACGGTTAAAGTTGTATTAAAGAGCGTTTCCACGTGGGAGAACCTCCTCAGGGAATATAAGGTTTTCATGAGGCTGATCTTGAGCGGCCATCCAAGCACGAATACCCTCATTTAACAAAATATTTTTTGTGTAGAAAGTTTCAAATTCAGGATCTTCCGATGCCCGAATTTCTTGGGAAACAAAATCATAGGCACGTAAGTTCAAGGCCAGGCCGACTACTCCCAGAGCACTCATCCATAAACCGGTTACTGGTACAAATAACATAAAGAAATGTAACCAACGTTTATTTGAAAAAGCAACTCCAAATATTTGGGACCAAAATCGGTTAGCAGTAACCATTGAATAAGTTTCTTCCGATTGCGTTGGGTTAAAGGCGCGGAATGTATTTGCACCATCACCGTCTTCAAATAAAGTATTTTCTACGGTAGCACCATGAATAGCGCATAGCAGGGCAGCACCCAGTACACCGGAAACTCCCATCATATGAAAGGGGTTCAATGTCCAATTATGAAATCCCTGAAAAAAAAGGATAAATCGGAAAATAGCTGCTACACCAAAACTAGGTGCAAAAAACCAACCAGACTGACCTAGTGGATAAATAAAGAAGACAGAGACAAAAACAGCAATTGGAGCAGAGAATGCGATGGCGTTATAAGGTCGCAATTGAACAGATCTGGCAAGCTCAAATTGTCGTAACATGAAACCAATTAATCCGAAAGCACCGTGAAGAGCCACAAATGTCCACAAACCTCCTAATTTACACCAACGTGTAAAATCGCCTTGTGCTTCAGGACCCCAGAGTAACAATAAAGAATGCGCTAAACTATTCGCAGGAGTAGAAACGGCAGCAGTTAAGAAATTACAACCTTCCAAATAGGAACTAGCCAATCCATGAGTATACCAGGAAGTTACAAAGGTTGTACCCGTGAACCACCCACCTAAAGCAAAATAGGCACAAGGAAATAGTAATAGACCTGACCACCCTACAAAAAGAAAACGGTCTCTGCGTAACCAGTCATCCATAGTATCAAATAAATCCTTGTCATTTTTCGTAGATTGACCAAGGGTTATAGTCATAGTAATACTCCTATTAAACTACTTCGACCATTTCCGAGCACCATATCGGATTTTTGGTTTTATTACATCTGAAAATTTCTGTTCTTGCGGTAATATTTATTCATGTATCTCGAACCGTGGTTTCCAATGGGTTTCGAAGATCCAATTCTTCCTTACTTGGCCCATATTAAGGATTTGGGTCAATTCATGAACGTAACTAAATTCTTATTTTAAATGATTTTATATTTTAAACACCTTTTAATCAATATTACTAAATACTAATTTCATCAATGACAATTATACTGACTGACCACTATCACGTATCTTCAGACCAACTACTAAAAACTAAAGTGATAAGTCTAAATTTCGTTTTTTATTAAATCAGCTAGAGATCAAAATAAAGATAGTCTTTCTTCATGCTCAGTATATATATAGCTAAATAGTTCTTCTTTAAAATATAAAAATATAAAATATGAGAATAGTCGCTTGACGCGTTATTAAATTTATTAAATGAATAGAGTCAACCTGTTTGTTGTTAATTTGNGGAGGAGAGATAGAGACTCAAAGATACTATTTGTTTCTTCTGGATTATTGGTATGTTCCATAAACATGGAATTATTCCGACTTTCTCGTTATGGAGTATTTTGTTTATGTACATGCAATAAACACGTGCTTAATTTTTCCTTGAAATTGTTTTTAAAACTCAAAAAATTAGAAAAGAAGGTGGGAGTTTCGAAATATTGAAAATTAAAAAAATTTAAGTAATTTAATTCAAGTAGTTAAGTAGTAAGCCCCCATCGTCTAGTGGTTTAGGACATCTCTCTTTCACGGAGGTAACGGGGATTCGAATTCCCCTGGGGGTAGGTACTCTAGAAAAAAGATTACCAAGTTTCAGTATAAAATTAAATTTTAATTCTTCCTGGGTCGATGCCCGAGTGGTTAATGGGAACGGACTGTAAATTCGTTGGTAATATGCCTACGCTGGTTCAAATCCAGCTCGGCCCATGAACTCTATTCTACATAGCTACAAAAATAAAACCTTATTTCATATCCCTTTTTCCAGGGATTGTAGTTCAATTGGTTAGAGCACCGCCCTGTCAAGGCGGAAGCTGCGGGTTCGAGCCCCGTCAGTCCCGACGGATCCAATATCTAGTTATTAATTTATAATAAACCAAAATTTTTCTATGGGATTAAATCCCGAGTTAGTACGCCGTAAAAAAGGAAGGAACTATGGAAGTCAATATTCTTGCATTTAGTGCTACTGCCCTATTGATTCTCTTCCCGACTGCCCTTCTCCTGATTCTTTATGTCAAAACAGTAAGTCAAAATAATTAGTTACTCCCAGAACTCTTTCCTTTTGAGTCCGCTTATAGCAAAAATTGTAGGACATCTTTTTAATGTGACTGATAAACAAGCCATCAACTTCGCCATATATTAAATAAAAACCTTAAATGACCTGTATCTATGTATAAATAGATAGTGAGGGTTGATAAATAAATGAAACCCAGACTATCTATTCTATATTTATATTTATGTGTTGTTAATAGTTGAAACGAAAGACATGGGGATAGAGGTTTTATTTACAAATTATTAGAATTATCAAGGTCGTGCATAACGCTGTATGATACAAAGAATCAAAGTCAAATAGTTTTATTTCCCAAAAATTCAAATTAGCAGCACTTCTAGAGTCCACTTCTTCCCCATATTACTAATGAAAGGGAAAAGGTAAAGACTACCATTAACGCAGCCCAAGCCATACTTACTATATCTATATTCATGTGGTAAATTCTCTCCCCTATCTCTATAATTAATAATTAAAAAAATTAAAAAACACTTTATTCAAACTTTTTTATTTTTTTATAATAAAAATAAACTAATAAAGAATGGTGAACTCCCTCATGTAGCATTTAAAAAGACCCATAATCTAATAATCATACAAGGAACTCGTCCTAATCATAAATATAGAAATGAGTAATTTTTAACGATAGACTCGTTTCTTTATTTTTTTTATAAAAAAAAATAATTCATAAAAAACGCAAAGGTATAAATCAAAATATATCTAATCTGAGTCGAACAAAAACAAATTGCACCTGCTATCTGATTAATGACATAAAACTATTAAAAATAAAAAAAAAAAAAAAGAAAAAGAGAATTGATCAGGCGACACCCAGATTTGAACTGGGGAAAAAAAGATTTGCAGTCCTTCGCCTTACCACTCGGCCATATCGCCAAAAAAAAACTGAGTTTCTTGTTGGAAGGCTCTTCCTAAAAAATCTTAGTTTATTCCACTTTTTTTGTATGGATTTTAGCCCGCCTTTCAACTGCGTTTGGCAAAAATAAATCTACATTTTTTTAAGTTTCCGATTAGGAAAGCTTTATAATTAGGTTGCCATTCTTCTATCCACCGGGTTATTCAGAATAAATGCATTAAGGGAAGTCTTAAGAAAATTTTTTAAATTATTGAGTATTTTTTCTTCGTCGAGTTGTTCTCAAATGAACCCGAGCACGGTTACAAAAAATACCATCATAAGAGTCACGACTCAAGAATTCTAACAAAAGTTCTCAGTAAAGACCTAAAAAATGAATAACTAAAATTTAATTGGTTATTGATATCTTCATCACTCACTAGTTTGAATTTGACAATCTCGTCAAGTATTCAAATTAAACTATTTTTTTATTACCGATTTATATTCAAACGAAATATTTCAAATTCCAAAAATACTCCGACTTGGACAGTTTCTTTATGAAAAGATGAAAATGCACATATCTATATATAAATATAGAACTATAATAACCGTCTTAACTTGGATCAAGTTATTCTGGTTCAAATTAACTCTAGAGTAATCTGATTGGCTAAGTCCTGTCAGGATCAACCGTGCATGTCCTTTTTGGATAAAATTTGTTTAAAGAAAATATCACTATAAAAAAAAAAAGCAAAATTAAGTTGATCTAATAAAAAGTCTTTGAAAAGTATAACTATAAAGAGATTTTTTTGCCTGAAGAATTTATTGGGTTCGCACCTTAGAATAAGCAATTTCTTCTCAAGCCTTTATTATTGGGACTCATAACAACATTTATTAATCCTAAAAGTTTTATGTTTTATCTCCGAAGCAAGTGTTTAAAAAAATGCTCGGAGTTTCTAAAAGTAGTTCTCGGCGGGCATATTTCTTGGTTCAAAGGATGAAAAGAAAACGTTTTTTTGGGGTAATACTTTACAGGTTAAAGATTTTGTGCACGTCTTTAAATTCCGATATGAAAATTGATTTTGAAACTACCAAACTCAAGTTATTTTAGGGGGCATTCGAGATCTTTTTTTGTCCCCA